CGAGAAAGCTTAGGGTATGGAGAGAACCGGGAAATCTTATTCGGTTGGATCATGTTCAGGAAGTGCACCCTTATCAAGGTGGAACAGTTATGGTCTGGGGAGGAGTCTAGTTAGGCTGAAAAACCGATCTCGTTTTTTTTAAAGGTTTCTAACAGGAATCACATATCGTGATTTAATTCTTGAGCCTGTCGTGTTACCATATGCCAATGAATTTGGGAGAAACTTCATTCTCATGCGTGAGAATGCACGGCCTCATACAGCCAGAGTGGTAAGTGAGTTTACCAATGCTCATCAATTAAACATCTTATCCTGGCCGGCACAATCTCCTGACCTCAACCCCCCCCCGAGCACGTATGGGGCGCTGTCCAAAGAAGAATTTTGAGAATGGGTATGCCTCGTGAAACTCGTAGGGATCTGGTTCGGGCCGTGAATGCACCGTGGCAGGCTGTACCTCAAGAAGAGATCGACAACCTGATCAGGAACATGGAGAGACGATGTATGGCTGTAATGAACAGTAGAGGAGGCCATACCCTTTATTAAGTAAAAATGGTTTTATCTTTTTTTTTAATTCACAGTTTAGAATTAAAAAAAATGTGTGTATTTTTTGAGTTCAATAAAAATCATGGTAAATTTGAAAAATTCGGTAAATTTCGCATTTTTATTTCCAATACGTCCTGTAAACTATTAGTTTGTTATATCAGAAATGCAAATAATAAAAATACTGACGATGGCTGTATAAAATTGTAATTTTCCTAGACTTTTCAGGTGTGTGTATTTTTTAAAAATGCTATATATATATATAGACTTAAAAAAAATAGAGTTAATATAAAATCGTATACTATTCTAGCTTTATAATTTTACAATGTTTTTTTTAATTTTTATTAAAAAACGATAATTTCATCATTCGGTCTGATAGCCTGACAGCTGTGGCCATTAAACCAAAATACTACTACATCTATATCTATGATTATTACTAACTGCTACTAACCAACAATTTGTTTTGTGTGGTCTGTGGTCTGTTTTTGTTTAAATGTTTTGTTCATTATTCATTTTGGGGATTTATTTTTAAATTATTGTTAATCGTTAGGCAAACTCATGCAATATGTATTTTTTTGCATAATCAAAATTGCCACTCTAAATTTTACATAACCAAATTGTCACTCTAAATTGCTGACTTTTTTAGACAGATGTCATGTCATTACTCAATTCATTATTCGAATTCTCAGAATGTTTTTGACAAAATGTTAATCAATCACAATTGTTTTTCTCCTTCATTTACCTGATTAATTATACAGAAATTACAGTTCAATTATAAATAATTTATTATTTATAGTGATTTACAGTAATTTTATTAAATTATACGAATATTCTCGTTGATTGTTGGTTTGAAATATTATATATGACAGTATCCTCCAAAGAAAATGCGGGTTACTAACTCTAAATTCTAAATCTGAGCTGGCAAATGAGCTAGATGGTTATTCAGAGGCTATTCGTAAGTCTAGATCGCTATTCAGAAGCCTAGATCGTTATTCAGAAGCTACAAATTTACTTCCTAGCACTCACGGTTGGTACAGTATCAAGTTTATTACAGTGATTTTGATTTTCTTAGCCGCGTACGGCACAGATTGTTACCCAGTGTTGCCACAAGCTTATTTTTTATCGGGATAGATTATCACGAGATAGCGGGGTTAAATTGCATTACAAAGGGGTAGATCTACCCTGAATGGGGTAGATCTGGCAATACTGCCGCTATCACTTTTCCTCTCGCTAGCTCGTCGGGCATGGCTCGTGCGTCACGGCCGTCTCGCGGCCCTCATTCAAGACCGAGTGTCACGGCAACTAAGTCAATTTGACTTAGTTGCTTTAGTAGCGTATCTGTATTTTTGCTATTTATACCGTGGCCTTTTTTGTTTGAAAGAAAAACACAGAGTGACAAATATGACTTTTAAAATCTGATTTGACTGGACTAACTACGCATATATAAGGCTCACACGTGTCAATTTACGATATCCTTAATTGCTTTCATGTTGATGCACTCAACGAACAATCCTGGAAATATTCTAATGATATTTAAATGCGTTTTTAAATTGCTATATTAATTAACACATTTATCTGACATACATAAAATATACCTATATTTAAAATAAGTAAATATAATAATATAAATGATTTTAATTATTAAGCCTCATATACATAACGATTTAAGTAAAAAAAAACGGAAGTTTTAGTCAAAATTCTGAAAAATCAAAATATATTATTTTCGTGGTGTGTCACATAACAAATTAATGTAAAGACTAAAAAAAAAGATAGAGATCTGTTATTTCTGTCAACAATCCTGTACATTTCGGTCAATAATTTCATATCTTGAAATTGATGGCTACTGCTACTTACATTTCCCTTATCAATCAATGTTCGTTTTTTCTTTGATTCTCCCTCACAGGGCTGCAAAAACAAATCAACTTAAATCACTGCTTTTTTTATAAAAGTTGATATTTTTCTTTTCTATTAATTTTCTGCAATGTCGTTGTCCTGATTACTAGTATCGTAAGATTCAAACATACATGGTTTTAGAATTAAATTATTAATAATTATTTTATTAACGTAGGTAATAATATTATTATTAATAAAGAACTTATAAGAGACAAATACTTGAATTATGAAATTTTTCATCTTCCAAGATGCGTATCACCCAAAATGAGTTTGCGTGTCAGCACTGATACGCATGTCACAGATTCGCCATCACTGGTCTACAGAAAGGTTTGACTAAACTGAATAAATTACTTTATACCTTTGTATAAAGTAATAATAATTATTCAAACTTACAACAAAGCTAATAAGAGTGCCGATTAATTTAAATATCGCAAGAACAAGAACAAACGTATGTGTTACACGACTCCGATATGTATCTCATTACCAATCGTATGTTAAACAGAATTGCAGTTTTCTTTAATCTAGCCGAGATATACGTAATACGATAATAATAGGTTGTATTTAAACAGATGTTTGAAAATTTATAACCAGGAGATTTAACATAAACGATTTGTTTCGTAAAGCTTAAGGCAAAAGTTCATTTTAATGAAGCTTTTAATAATGCTGTTGTGTTTTTAACGCTTATAATTTATAAGTTTAAGGTTAAGTCATTTTCTTTGTCAAGGAAATTAAAATTACACTTAAGAAATTAGTGGTTGCAACTAATTATAGATTATACTTGGGAGTTTACGATTTTCACATTAATTTGCTACTTTTTTATGAAACTAAATATGCTACACATAGGTTTGTCCGAGCCTCCTTAGTTCCTGAAATACAGGGCGAATTTGTGATGCGCAGTAGTGAACAGATATTGAATACAGATATGGGGATGCGCAGTAGTGAACGCAACGTCTACCGCCAGCCAGACAGTGCGCACTCTGTTCAGAACAGCATAGCAAAAGATATATATTAAAGAATCAGTTTTCTTAAAATTCTCTTTTGAAAACTTGCTAACTCTTAAACTATAAGTAAAACAGCGAAAACGTAATGGTAATCTATACTAATATATAAAATCCTTAAGTGACATACTGATTAATCACGATCCTGCTCAAACCACTCAACGTAAGAAGCTCAATTTTGGCATACAGGTTGATTCTAGGGTGTAGAGGTTCGATAAGAAAGGATTTTTCGAAATTCCAGTTCCAAGAGGGTGAAACCACCCCTCAAATATTACAATATTTTTTATTTAAAAAACGGTCAAGTTTCCGAAAAAACGCTTAAACACGTATATTTTATTTTGTTTTTTACACATTTTAATTTTTTTTAAAAACGTATACAGGGTGTTTCGAAAAATCTGGTCATTGATTAATCACGATCCTGCTTAAAGCGCTTGATGTAAAAAGCTGATTTTTGGAAAACAGATTGACTTTAGGGTGGAGAGGTTCGATAAGAAAGGATTTTTCGAAACTCGAATTCTAAGGGGGTGAAACTATCCCTCAAATATTAAAATATTTTTTATTTAAAAACCGATGAGTTTTTCGGAAAAACTCTTAAACACGTATATTTTATTTTGTTGTTTTACATATTTTAAGATTTTTTATAAATTTATACAGAGTGTTTCATAAAATATGACCATTGAGTAATCACGATTCTGCTTAAACTGCTTGACGTTTAAAGCTGACTTTTGGCAAACGGATTGACTGTGGGGTGTAGAGTTTCGATAAGGAGGGGTTTCTCGAGTCTTTCGGGAAAACGCTTGGACAAGCATAATTTATTTGGTTTTTTACATATTTTAAAATTTTCTAAAAAATCATACAGGGTGTTCCAAAAAGTTAATTTCTTAACCACGATTCTGCTTAAACTGCTTGACGTAAAAAGCTTATTTTTGGCAAACGGATTTATCGAAAGTCAAATTCCAACGAGATGAAACTACCCCTCAAATATTACTAAGTTATATAATAATATCGCCATATTGTTTTTTCTCATGCTGACATAAATGTGAGAAAATTTTATCCAGTTTGTATGTTAATGGAAATTCTTGCTTTGCTTTATCATCACCATTACAAATGATTAATTCGACGCGAACGAAGTCGCTGGTGCACGCTAGTGAAAATATACAATGGTAGTCCAAAGAAAGGAGGCATGAAAATTCAATAAACTGAAAAACTGCGTAATTTTCTAACCAATCGAAGTCTTCAAATTCAACCAATAAAATTAATATCGTATCGCCGGACAACGGATGCATGAAAATCAAGCTAAAGTCAACTAAACTTAACAGTACGGTTTCAAAGACCGCTGCGGAATGACAATCTTGGCAAGATGATAATTTTGGCGAGGTCGTTCTCTAGAAGACGCTTATAAATGTAATCTAACGTCTTGTAACTTCGGTGAACGATCAAGAATTACTATTTCGAAATAGCTAGTCCATTTAAGCGCAAAAACCCTTTTATTTAGAAAGTTCCCCGTTATTAAATAAAAAAAACTCTGAAAAATGTGGAATTTTTGAAATTTATCTATACCCTTTTTTCTAGCTTTTTCCTTTGGAACCTCGCCCGGAAGCAGCAGCAGCAGCTCGGCGTCCTTCCGGTCCACCCCCTCGCCCCCGCCCAGCACCTCGCCGATACTCTCCTTCAGTTCGGGGTCGGACGAGGGGATCGTCATGGACTATATGGCAGAAGACCAGCCTCGCAAAAAGAAGGTGAGTCGCTCTAGGTTATCTAGCTTGTTTGATTGATCGATATTCGCTTCCTTTTAAAGATAAACGCGCGACCTTGTTTGGCAAAAAAACCTTTCATTGTGATATGTCGATAGGGTGTTAAAATTCTATTGGGATTTCGCAAATTTCCATAAAATATTTGAATTTTCTTAATAAACCACTCAATAATGCTGTAGTTCCTAGGATAAAAAACTTGGGAATTTTTGCAAGTGCAAACCTAAAGTATGTACTAGGAAATTTTAACTTCTACAGTGTGACTCGAAAAAGTGTGAGTGGATCGGGATGATTTTTTTAATGGAACACCCTGTATATTATTGCATTTTTGGCTTCCTTTCAGATCACTTTACATAGTTCTAAGGTGTGAGTAAATATATTTCGATAGTTTCAGTGATATTAATAAACAAATAAAAAAATATATATTTTTCAGTCTTTCTTAAAAAAATATTAAAAATGCAAGAATTGTCCTGAAATCAAAATTCTATAGGGTATTTACTTTAGATAATCTGTTCTTACATCGCTTTAAATATGGTAATCGTAAATCTCAAAATTTTACGCCAAACTTTCTGAAATATAAAATAATTTTTCTTGGTTTTTTTTTAAATGGAACACCCTGTATTTTATTTTTTTCAATAGATGCAGAATTAAAAAATAAATATTTTTTGCATTTAGAGTATTTCAATTTTTTTTTATTTATTTATTAATATCTCTGAAATTATCGAAACATATTTACTTAGGATTATGTATACCTACATGTATATTTCGTATGGCGTATTAAGAGTACATCATGTGTACTATCAAGAAATTAAAAAAAAGAAATCAATACAATAATACAAACAATTCAAAGATCAACAATCAGATGTGTAAGAGACATATCACAATGTTACAGTAAAAAAGAACAACTATAAATTTACACTACAAGATTTAGTTAGGTCTGCGGTCCATTCTATATCATCCAGGCCAGCCTCATGAAGACGATTTAAAGAGAACTGCGCCTTTGTTAATGGGCACTCTGTTGCGATATGAAAAGGTGCATGTTCAGAATGTCCGCAATCCCAGTTAGGGCTGTCGGTTAGTCCCTATTTGTGTGTCCAGAAGCGGGTTCTGCCATGGTTAGTTCTGAACCGATTGAGTGTTGTCCACGTTTTTCTTGGCAAATTGAATCCAGGGGGGCAGAGTACTGGGTCAGTTATCAAGTGATGAAGGTGAGGATTATTTTGTGACCATTCATCTCGCCAGCAGTCTTCAACCCGAAAGTTGGAATTTAATAGCTGCTGCCCTAATACCCATGGCGGTTTTCTGGACTTCAGGCGATTCAAGAAATTTTCGCAATCATCATGGATGGGCACATTGCTGGTGCACTTTTTCCACTATCTGACTAGAGCCGCCTATCTTCTCAGATGAGGGGGAGTAATGTTTGATAATACAAGGTGTCACTGGATCGGAGGGCTTCTGATAGTGCCCGTTATAATTCTCATCGCGCTGTTAAGACGAGTGTCAATAAGATCAGTATGATTGCTATTTATCCAGACAGGGCAGCAATATTCTGCCACCGAATATGTGAGGGCCATTGCAGTTGTTTTAAGTACCCTGGCGTTTGCTCCCCAGCTGCTACCTGCGATCTTGTGCAGTATATTATTTCTAGTATTTATTTTTGCAGCCGTCTTGGTGAGGTCTGGCTTGAACGTGAGAGACCGATCCAATGTGACTCCTAAGTATTTTGGGTGAGAGTTGTATTTTTCCAGTTGATCTCCAAATGTGACTTGCGGTACATACTTGGCTTGTAAATTGTGAAGATGAAAGCACGAAACTTCAGTCTTAGCAATGTTTGGGCGAAGTCTCCACTTACGAAAGTAGTCCTTTAACCTCTGCAAGTCATCTGATCAAATCAGTTGTTTGGCAGGAAAGTGCAATGTCATCTGCGTATATAATTTTTTTGGAGACTGTAGCAGAGAGGTCGGCGGTCGGGTTTCTGTAATGAGGACCGACGCAGTTTTGCCGGACCCTGTATATTCACTGTTAAAATTAAACTACAGTATAACGTAATACACAATTTCTAGCGTTTATCGCATGTTCTAATCTAAACCAAGAACACAGTAAGCGAGTTGACGTCAGAACTGCAAGATAAAATAATAATGACGTTCGATATACCGGGCGAAATGCTGATCCTTGACGATAATAGTCGGATATGGGGACACACCTTTGCATCAACTCTACACAGCTTACGGGTTTTAAAGCTATAATACACTCGCTTGTGACGGAGGTACTGTCAAGTACCGCAAAGAGATTGTTTTGTATCCTATCACTTGGCTCAGTTAGAATGTCGCTCAAGGTTAAAACGAGTTGTCACTAATCTAAATTTCTTTTTATTCGTGTTATATACCATGTCCAAAAAAATATTTAGTTTTTTCAAATACTTTAAAATTTTTAATAACTACCGGGTGTCCCACAATTAGTGCGACAAACTGAAAGGGGTTGTAGAGGGCACCAAAACAAGTGATTTGAGTACAGGAACCCACGTCCAGTATTATTAAAATAGGCGAAGGAACTTGACGGGACGTGCACTAAGGTACCAACACGGACTGCACGCCCTATTATCAACAGCGATGCGTGTGCATTTGTGTCTTCAACAGAATGGACGGCACTTTGAGCAGTTTTTGTAAGTGTTTTGAATAAATAATGCAACTTGAAATTTACGTATGGGTTCCTATAGTCAAATGGCTTGTTTTAATGCCCTCTACAACCCCTTTCAGTTTGTCGCACTAATTGTGGGACACCCTGTATATTTCTATGATAATAATATAACTTAAAATGGAATTCAAGAACCTGGAATACTCCATCCGTAATCTGGAATGGGAATCCTCCAACGGTCTAAGACACTCGAAGAATTTAGAACCAAAAAAATCAAAGATTTTTCTATGTTTTAGTAAGTAACAATCTTCGGAATTCCACGGGGTTTCTAACCCCCGGTAGATTGAAGCTAAGAAACAACGGCGAATGTAGATTGTGTAGGTAAAATGGGGAAACACCAGTACACCTCATTACTGAGTGCACGGAGACGTCAACCAATCTAACATCTACACCTACATGATAATAATACATGCATAAAATAAACTATTTTATTATTGAAAAAACATCAGAGTGAAAAAGTTTCCCTTTTCATACAATATTATCTACGTATCTCTCTATTTCTGACATACTTAAATATCAATTAGCCTCAAAACCGAAATCTGGAACTTTACAGATAAATGGTCTAACTTCCGCATCGATGTAGCCGGGTAATCGAAACAGCATTGAACTAAATTTTGTTCCCCCATAATGGGTTCACACCTTAAATTCTTCGATTTATACGCGTACCTTGCGAAACTCGACGATTTAGTTGATATTAGGGCCAAGTTCAGAAACGTCATCAGTCTAATGAGTCATCCATTTCCTGCTACACCTGTAGCAGGACAGCAAATTGTTTGTTGTATGTCGTTGTTTTTGTTTCGAATCTTGTTTCTCCTATTTTTTATTTTGAAATGAAATTTCAAGGTATTTAATTGATGTAGATGTAAAATTTGATTTTTAGTAGTATTTTTACATTACCAAAGATAGAGAGGTTTTTTTCACTTATTCTGATTTGAAATGTTTTTGGGCGTGGAACGATTCAGATCGATTATTTAAATTTTTTAATATCCACAGTTTGTCAAAAAAGTACCGGGTGGCCAACTAAGAATGGACGCCAGCTGTATCTCAGAAACTACTTATCGTATAACTTTGGGAAAAAAAATCTAATAAGTAAATCGACCAAGAGAAATCGCTGGAAATTATTTTAAAGTTTGAAAAATGTCCGCTAGGGGGCGTCCTTCTGCTAGCCAATCAGAAAACAGGTTTTTTCTCAAAAATATGCAGGTGAACAGGTGTTCTCAATACTACTTTTGTAATCTTCGAGAAATTTGTAATTTTTTTGATATAGAGTATTTTGTTCTATCTGATAAAATAAAGTGGTGGGGGAAGGTTAAACTTATTTTTATTGAAATAAGAATAACTCTGGTTTGGGTTAGTCGAGTTAAACAAACTAGGGCCCGTTTAAAAGAGCTTTTCTTCCTTAATGATCTCCAGTATAAATGTTGTTTTCATTAATTTTTTCGTGGTAGCTAGAGGGCGCTGTTTGACATCATAACAGATATTGCGCTTTTGCATAAAAAAATTAAATAGGAGGCTATATTTCTCCTTGCACAGTTAAATAGAGCACAAAATTTCCAAAATATCAGCGCAAACCGCAACTTTTTATCTTCTCCCTTACCGGAGATATTAAGAGAACAAATCATGATATGCTGCCGCTTAGGATTATATGGTCTAAAAATTATAGTAGTAGGCTAGGAAACAAAAGGAGGTAAATTGAGTCAAAATATCAAAACGTTTAAGTTCAGTTTTCATGTATTCGAATTTCGGGCGTTTTCTTAATAGAAATACGTCATAAATTTTTAAACGTGTTTATGTAACATTATCGTCCATCCATATTATTTTTACGAATTTCTAACGTAAGTAGTTCAATGATTTTATTAAAATTTGTAGGAATTTTGTGCCACCAGCGCCATATTGCTTTTAACAGAAATCGGCCGAATTTCGTATGACCGAAAACTTAGGGTGTATTTCATGTAACGTCATTTAATTATTAATCAAAGTTCGTTCTTGATTTCACTTGCTTTCGTGTTTTACCTGTTGTTTGTGTTATCTATTTTTGTATTATAAAGTTTATGTCGTTTTGGTTACTTTCCATGTAGCACCGTATCGGTGCGAATCTTAACAATATGCTCTACTGGTCCAAATCTACCCTTGATGCCAGTAGTTCAGCACCAAGACCGTTATTCGGTAAATGTTTAGGCAGGAATTCTAGGATGGCGAATGATTGGACTTTTTTAATTATCTGAATGAAATGAACTATCCATAATTTCTAAGAGATGAATTGCCTATTTTGTTTGGGGATCCATCATGATGAA